GTCTTAAACTACCTAAACTATCACTCCTTCCTCTTTGACATGTACCCCCCTTAAACTGATCATTCATTACAGCCTTTCCCCTTTGAAGCTGGGACTCGGACTGGACCAGAACATATGAATCCTGATAGCATCTCCAACGGGCAGACAATGTCATTTGCCCCAGGCACATGAGCCCTTCCCACTAACGTGACTTTTGACTTGTGCTCAGGTGCCAGCAGGTGGTACCCAGGCCCCAGGTGGGAGCCGGGCCTTGGGGACTGGATGGCAACAGGAGCCAGGGCCACCAAACATATGGAGTGCAGGCTGCCCATCTTGCAGGTGCACTTGCAGGCTGGCTCCACCCTGGTTCTGTCCTGAATTCCACTTTCTTAGGGTCCAGATTAACTGGACACAAGACCACTCTCTCATCTGATTCTCATCAGATGTGCACTTCTGAACCTGAATAATTAAACCACACAGCCTGGGCCAGGCCACTGCATAGAGCTTAGACATGTAAGTGACCCTGGGCTCAGATATGCCACTCTGATAGGGCAGACCCCAGGGAACAAACCAAGCCTGTGTGACCAACAGGAACGTGGTCCCTTCATAGTGGGCAAGTGTAGAGCGACACATTTAGGGAAAATCATCATGCTGGGAATTGTGCCCCTAACAAAGATGCCAGGGAAGGCCCAAAAAGTCAGCAAGTAGAAATTTAGTTCCCATAAAAAGCTCATCATCGACGCCCGCCAGGGGGAGGGTGTTCCTGAGTGACAGGGGCGAGGGCCTCAGCCCCGCCCCCACTGCCACACATCCAGCCAGGCCAGCAACAGAACGCCTGCCCAGGGATCCTGAGACAGGGGCCTGGGCCTCAGCTCCGCCCCTGCCACCCGCCAGCAATGGAGTCAGCCCGACACCCGTCCTTAGAGATGGGGCCGAGGGCCCTAGCCCTGCCCCCACTGCACATCCAGGCCAGCACTGGAACCAGCCGCCGTCGCCTGGGATCCCGAGACGGGGCCGGGCCAGCCCCGCCCCCACCCGCGACCAGCTCCTGCAATGTACCCATTAACCCGTGCGTTTCTTTCGGGTGTGTGACGTATCTGCTTTTGTCTGTCCTTCATCAAATTTCTGCTTAGATTTTTCTAATCCTTTTTTAAGAGTTCTTTTTGCAATGAGGATGTTTGTGTGTTTAAAGAAACAAAAAGGCAGAGAGTAGAATAATGGTTACCAGAGGCTGGGAGGGGTGGGGGGTGGGGCGGAAGATTAGGGGTGGACTAATGGGGACAAAACTATGCTGTCTATCGTATAACTTCGTATAATGTATGCTATATAGAAGAATGGTTTGAGGAGGCTGGGAGGGGTCGGGGGTGGGGGGGAAGATTAGGGGTGGACTAATGGGGACAAAACTATGCTGTCTACCCCAAGTGAGTCATTCTGCATGTATTGAAACAACACACTGTACCCTACAAAAATAAATATAAATAAAATTGAACTTAATAATAATAATAAAAAGAAATAGAAGTTACCAGGGGGTGCAGGGGGGGGAAATGGGAAGTTAATGTTTAGTGGGTATGGAGTTTCTTTTAGGGAAAATGAAAAAGTTCTGGAGATGGATGGTGGTGATGATTGCAGGACAATGTGAATGGTTTTTTTTGTCCTTTTTGAGACCGGCCGCACCGTGCTCACTGAGCGCACCGGTCATCCCTATATAGGATCCAAACCCGCAGTGGGAGCGCAGCGCTCCCAGCGCCGCACTCTCCCGAGTGCGTCGCGGGCTCGGCCCCAATGTGAATGTTTTTAATGCCACTTAACTGTACACTTAAAAATGGTTAAAATGGTAAAAAAAAAATTTTGTCCTCTCCCTAAAATGGTAAATTTTGTTCAGTATATTTTCCCACAATTTTTTTAAAATAAAAAAATAAAGATTATAATAAAGATAGTAATTTGTTAAAAAAAAAAAAAAGTCATAGATCAGGCATCCATGGGTTTATTAAAACTGTTTTAGACGGGGGGAGAAAAATGTTTTTTCTCATCTGTTACACTATTTTGGGATGATGGATTTCCTTATTTCTCTGTGGTAAGTAATATTTTCTTAAGTTTTTCTAATTTAACTCAGAAAAACAAGATTTCTTCTACTTCTAGGAAGGGTGCATATGTATGTTATTGGGTCTTCAAAGATTTCAGTGGCTCCAGGCAGAGCTGCTGGAGATTTTTTTCCCTGGAGCTTTCCTGGTGGGTTCCTCTTTATGCATCTCTTTTCATGGAGCTACCCCTTCCATCACATCAAATCTTCATGGAGTCTGGTAGCTACAGAAATTCTCAGAGTGGAAGAGCCTTGATTTTGTGCACAAATTGGAGAGCTTTCTCCTGCAGCCTTTGGGAGGGGCATGGCACATGGTGGCTTCTTTGTGATAACTTAGGACTCATCCATAGTGACCCTTGACTCCCTTTCTTGGCACATCTGCCAGATCAGAGCTATCAGATGATCAGTCACCAAAGTCTAGTTAATTTCTTGTAACTTACACTTGCCCACAGTAATAATAACAACTGGCATTTATTGAGTACTTATTATGTGCCAGTCACTGTTTCAAGATCTTTACATGTGTAAACTCATTTGCTATCCATAATAACTCTATGGGATGTACAATGTGCATTTTTACACATTGTAAATTACCCTCTCCATTTCACAGTCCAGGAAACAGGTTTAGCAAGGTGAAGTAATTTGTCCATGCTACAGTCGGTTAATGGAGCAGGGCTGGGGTCAGCCCCCCTTGAGAACCTGTGATGGCAGTGGAGTGCCAAGATAGAGGGTGGGAGCATGTATTTTGTCACTGACTCTGTTCAGAATTGTCTGCACATGGTAATAATAAAAAGCAGACCAACTTTTAGTTGGTTTTTATTATTTTTAAATTCTCTAATGCACCAACTTATGCTTGCACTCCTTGCATATAACCTTATGTGATACCTCTTGTTTTTCCTAAAGTCCAGTGAGTCCTGGGGCCTATTTTCATCAGCTCAGTGTTACCCAGCTCAGGCCATCAGCAGAATTGAAGTTACTACTGGGCAAGTTCAGATGGAGAAAGGAAGAAGGGAAAAGGCCAGTTGGTCCTCCAGAACCCAACTCAAGCTCCACCTCCTCCAGGAAGCCTTCTCTAATTTCCCTGCTCCTGCCTGGGCCTCTTTGCATGCAAAGTTGGTGTCCTCTCATGAGGCATGCTGGGGAGGGCTGCCTGGTTGCTTTTAGGTTTGATCTCTGAAGGCCTTCCTCACGCAGCTGTGGTTAGCAATGGCTATTTCCCCACTAAATGTTTCCACGTTGCAAACTGTCCTTGCATCTTGAGCTAGTTTCCCCTCCGGACTGCTCTGGCCCCTTCCCTTAGTGTAAGGTATGGAGGAAGGAAAGGTGGTGGTGAGTGGGCTGGGCAGGGGAAGAAAAGGGGGTGGGGGCAGAAGACACACTTCATCAGGGGTCTGAAAACTTGCCCAAGAACTGGTTCTGCTGGATAAGTTCACCCAAGGGTCACATGCCTTTTCACAGAAGAAGCAAACTGTCCTGCTCCAGGCAATTCAGACTTAAGGCCACTTTTCATTGTAAGATAGGTGAGTGCTTTGTTTTGTTTTGTTTTTTCCTAAACCAAAATTACTTCTTTTTATTTATGCATGGGTTTCAGCTGGACTACAAATGAAAGGATATGTATTGGGGGGGGGGGTGAAAGGATATGTTTGGGGGGGGGTTGGGGGAGCAGTGTCAGCCACCTCCTGTCTAGATCTGATGGCTGAGACAAACTCATTCATGACTGTGATCATTCCAGACTCCTCATTCGTATGGCACCAGCACAAACTATGTGCTCAGTAAACAGCTGTTGGATGAAGGAATGAACGAGCCAGCCCACCTAAGCTGCTGATGAGGGCCCCCTGCTGCCAGTCAGATGGACCTCCTGGCAGAGGGTGAGCCAGCCTGAGCTGATTGCTCTTTCCGGGTCTACCTCTAAACTGTTTGATCCAGCCCTTCCTCAGCACCAGGTTTACTCCGCTCTGGGACTCCAAGGCCAGGTTTGAAAGATGAGCTCTAAACCAAAGCCTCCTGGTTCTATTTCCCCAGAGCTTGGGAGTCCTCATATAGCTCATCACCTCCATCCCATTCTTGTAGATCCTTGAAGCCCACAACAGTTTCTGAATTGCAAGCCGATGGGCAAATACACTGAACTAAATATACTGCTAAGATTTCCCAAATCCCCACCTCTCAACTTCCCCCTTTCCATTCTGCTTCGTTCCCGTGCCCAGGCACCTTATTGCCAAGATTTCCATTCTAACCTTAGACACTCTGTGAGTCCCCACACAACTACTTTGCTGATTTAGCACTTGATTTGGATTCAACCATATATCCATGAATGTCTGGTTTCTATTTGGGGTTTTTTCCCTTCTTCAGACCTTTCAACGACCAGAGTAGAAGGGCTGAGGAGTTGGCCTGTGGAAAGGGCCTTCTAGGTTTTATTCGAAGGGTTTGAGTCTTCTCTCGCTCCGTGAATGATACCGGGTAAGTTGCACTGTCTCTCTCCCACACTTTCCCTATATGTGATACAGATGTTAACACTCTTAGCATTGTCTCTCTCTCTCTAGTTTTAAGGCAACAGTTAAAATCCTAGATAGCAAATGTATCTAGATCCATATATACATCCTGGATTTTTCAGGACAACCCTGATTTGAAATAAGTTGTTCCCATTGTCAGATCTTTGTCTGACCCTATGACCTAATTAAGGAAAAAATATGGTCTTGAGAGTACTTTGAATTCTTTATTCCAGCCATGGGCTGAAGTTTATGTACTAATATGCAAATAAAAACCATTTTGATTTTGGGCAGTGGCCTGGAAACTGCTGCCTGAACGACAGAATGTGTAATTCTGCCCAACACAACTATGTCCCTGGAAGGCCTTCCTGGGGAGGTTCCTGGAAAGCCTCTGCCTCAGCCCTCAGTTCCTGTGTCTCACCCACCCTGAGCCCTGGAAAGGGAAGGCGCCTACTCACCTGCACAGAGTGTCCACAGCACAGGCCTCATCTTCCTCACCATGGTCTGGCTTCCTCTCTGCCCCAAACCCAGCCTGGCACTGGCAGGCACCAGACAGGTCTGGGCTGACTGGCTAAAGCTACGACAGCCTCTAGCCTGGCCCAGCCTGAGGTCCCTGCAGTTCCCCCTCTTCCTGCCCACTCTGCCCAGCCTGGCCCACACGCCCCGCCCCTCAGCTGGACTGGCAGATGAGCTCACCTGTGGGGCTCGTGCTCCACCTACTCCAGCGAAGATCCCAGGAGGCGTCTTCTCTACTTCCCCCTTGAACCAGTCACCTCCCCTGCCTTCTCCCTATTTAGCAGGTGTACAAAGTCCCTGACTTCTCACTAAGGTGTGGGGCCTCTTATAACTGACAGGAAACGGTCGCCTCATAATAAAAAGGGAAATGATCTCAGAGGTAGGGTTCCAAGCTGGTAAAAGAGGGGTGTTGCCCACACTCGCTGAAACACTTCAAGACACAATATCATCGGTTCCCCTACTTCTCTCCTTGCCTGCAATCCCCACACCACACCATGCTAAAGATGCAGTCATGAAGAAGACAGGAATCCCCCGTCCTCAAGGTTTATAATCTGGTCAGGAAAGTAGTGAGGGCACAAGTAAATGAGGAAGGTGGGGTGATCGACTTTTCCTTGTTTGCCTGGAACTGTCGCAGTTTTCAAACCAAAAGTCCAATATCCTGGGAACTCCCTCAGTCCCAAGCAAATGGAGATGCTGGTCACCCTACTTAACAGTGATAACGCTGTGGGGAACGTAACTCTCCAAGAGCAGCCACTGTTATCCATTTCTTCCAGAGATATTCTATATATACGATAGAATATATACAAATGATAGTATGCATTATACACTGTTCTGGAAGGAGATTTTTCTGTTTTATTTTTCATTGAACAAAATATCTTACAGAGTTTTCTGTATCAGTATATGTAGCACTACTACCTTCTGTTCAATGGATGATAATATTCCACTCTATGATATTACCTTTTCTGAGACCAGGTAGTTCACTTGCCCATATTTTTATTGGGTTGTTGGCCTTTAGCTTGTTAATTTCTAGCAGCTCTTCCTATATTAGGGAAATGAACTTTTGGATGTGAAAAGTATTGCAAATATTTTCCCAGTGTGTCTTTGCATTATGAATTCAGAATTTCCTCCATAATTTATTTTATCAATCCTTTGTGGCTACTACATTTAGTTGACATACAGAAGTTATTGCTTTCTGATTACCGTATTTTACTCAGTCACCTTATTGAATTCTCTTATTATATGTAATAGTTTTTCAGCCGTAACATTTTATATTATTGCCAAGTCAGTCTTCCTGACACACAGCTCTGATGATGTCACTTGTCTGCTTAGGTCCTATCACTGACTCTGTAGAACCTAGCAAAAGAAATCCAGCTCCTTCAGTTGGACTTTAAGGTATTCTAGCCTTTGTTCTCAAATGCAGTCTACCTTTCAAAAATTATCTTTTACAATATGCATCTCATGCTCTGACCAACTTAGACATCTCTTCACACTCAGAACTCATACTTTCCTACACCAAAACTTCCTTCATGCCATCCCCTCTGAAATTCCTTCCCCCTAATATATCTGCTGTTGTAACCTAACTTGTCCTTTGAAAGGCAGTTCCTGTACCACCACTTCCTCCAGGAAGCTTTTCCTGACTTCTTTAGTCAGAAGGGCTCCCTCCCTCCTTTGAACTCATGCAGCACTCTGGCTCTCTTTTAGGAAACTGACTACATTCCCTCTTATGCTTGAGCTATTTTTGGTCTGTGTCTCATTCCTCCTAATAAATGTGAGCTCATCCATTCATTCAGCCAGTTCTAATGATACTATGTGCAGGCATTGTTCTACCTCGCTAGGAAGAAAGACAACTTTAAGCCGTGTGTCTTACTAACTTCGGTCAAGTACAGTGCCTGATGCATAGTAGGTAATCAGTAAACATTTGTAAACAGGTACATTCAGCCAGTTCTAATGATACTATGTGCAGGCATTGTTCTACCTCGCTAGGAAGAAAGACTTTAAGCCGTGTGTCTTACTAACTTCGGTCAAGTACAGTGCCTGATGCATAGTAGGTAATCAGTAAACATTTGTAAACAGGTAGACAAAAGGATGGATGGATGAATGGGTAAAGGGGAGATTATAGAATGTGTGGGATGAGAGGGGTGAACTGTTGAGCTATCGGCTTTGCTTTGATTGTAGTGATGGTTGGGGTGGGTACAGTGGAGCAGGGCAGGTTATAAGCTTGTCCGAAGTTCATGGAGCTCACAGAATTTTTATATCACTCAGGGTTGCCAGCTGACCGTCACCATGGGGTGTGAGTGTGGGGGAGGGGAGGCCGAAGGGAGCACAACTGCCCAGTTGATTGTCCAGAGGCACCTCTGCTAAAAGACATATAACCCTGGCCACAAGCAATGACTACTCTTTAGTTACACTATGGCACTCTCCCAATATCTATCTCTCAGAGGACCCTCCCCATTCTATATATCTGGTATTCTTTTTCTAGGCCTCTCTAAGCTGACATGGGGCTGAGGGAAGTGTGTGTACTTCCTAGATTCTTGAATTTAGACTATCTTCTGCAAGAACTTTGAATAGAGGCAGCCCCAGACAAGAGGGTATGAAGACAGAGCCCAGAGAAAGCCTCTGCGTCTACAAAGCTTGAACTTCCTCCAGCTCTGCTGCTAAATGGCAGAGTCCGGAGAATCAACCAGGAGGGAAAGAGTTAAGTGAGGCCTGCTTTCGGTCTGTGTCCTGAGCCTGCATTCCTTCCTCCCAGAGATCTGCCAGCCTGTGGGGCCAGAGGCTAAATTTAGACAGTGGCTAAGGTTTCCTGTTAACAGCTGTCCTACCCCTCAGAGAAGCAGCACTGAAGAAAGGAGAAAGGTTGGTCCCTCTCTCACTGGTCAGAGCTACTGCCATTTCATCTGGGCCCCTCAACCCTTGGTGTGGACATACAGGCAGGTCAGCGGTGAGTGTGCTTCTCCTCTCACTCTGTCCTGGTGGGCCTGGGACTCACAAGCAAAGGGGCAGCAGCTCTGCCCTGAGTGTCCGGGCCCAGCCATGATGTCTGAGACCAGCTACTGGGGGTCGTCCTGTCACTTAATAGGCTGTGGAGTGGTGCCTGGGCCAAAGGCCCTGACTCCCATGGCCTTGGTTAAGTTCACTGCAGAAGACCAGATGCACCTCCCCCAGTAGAGGCAAAAGGCGTGCGCATGAGATCAGGCGGGGCATGTGCGTAGGCGCGTGTGCACGCATGTGTGTGCGTGAGTGTGTATAATTTCAACAGAAAGGTCTTTCTAGTCTGGGGAGTTCACTGTTTTTCAACCTCTGTAGCTACAGTTAGGGCAAATTTCTGGCTCCCATCACTGCCTCCTTGCTGGCGTCTGTAGGATGAGCCAAATTGTCACTTCTTAATCATTGTGACTCCAAGGTGGGCTTTTAACACAGCCCGGTGGGCTTCTTGGTGTTCTGGAGACAGTAGCTGGACCGGGTCTGACTGGGTTTTTCCAGTGGGTACTTTACCCACCAGGGTATTAGCATGTGGTGACCTTCCCATTCCTAGTTCCACTGAGGTGACATCACTGACATGCCCCAACCAAGTTCCCTAACTGCCTTTTTCCTGCCAACCTTTACAGAGGCTTACAGGCTCTCATGGCGACCAGCGGGGACCCAGAGGAGGAGCAGGTGGTTCCAAGCGAGGAGGATGGAGCCGACGTGAGGGCCGTGCAGGCCCGGTACCTCCGGAGCCCCTCCCCCAGCCAGTGAGTGTGCGCTGCTCATCTCCGTGCCCCACGGCCTCTGCGGGCAGGGAGGGCACCAGGGAGCATGGGGAGCGGGCCCAGGGAGCCTGAGACCACCACCTAAGTTCACCCCCTCAACACACAGTATGGGGAACTTTGACGCGTCATGCTTTCTGGAGGCAAACACGCAAAGAGACAGATTGCGATGTGGCATGGTAAGTGCTAGATATTAGTATGTCCAGGGTCTAGTGTGTGGTGGGCCAGGGAAGTGAACAACTGGACCTAGAAGAGTCATAACAGGCTTCCTGGAGGAGATGGTGCTGGACCTGAATCTGGAAGGACGAGTAGGAGTTTGGTAGGTCTTTCTGCAGAGTAGTGCTTGACTTGCTAGCATTAGGGCTGGATATGGGAGTGATAGGCTGTAAATGGTAAGAGAAGCGATCAGGAGGGGAAGAGGCCCATAGGACCAGGCCCTGGCACTGAGATAACTTTGTGTCCATGATCAAAACTGTCCTTTCTGTGTCTTTCACACTGGGAGACGTGCATGCCTGGGTGCAAGAGGCAGGGTGCTGAGGGGTAGATAAACATGATGCATCTTCCTGGAGAGTCTTCCTCATTTTATGGCAAGTTATTTAAAGCTTTCTTTTGCATTAAAATCACTGAGTATATATTATGATGTAGAATGACAAATTTGCATGAATTTTTAAGAAAAACCATGAGACATTAAAGAAATGTCCTGTTTAATTGCCTGCTAAAACAACAGTGTGTGTGCCTGTCCATTTTCTTCTGCTATAAATGACTTCTAGTCATAGCTCTGCCACCAAATTGATGTGAAGAGTAAATTGAATGATTGAGCCTGTCTCCTAGTCTATGAAAAGCGAAGGAAAGACCCAACTAAAATATCTCAGGGTAACTTATGACTCTGCTTGACTTCACTTTTCCTAACTTCTCCTGGGGTCTTGCTGGTTCCTGCTTCTCAGGATTCAGAACGCTTCCCTGTTGAAGTAGGGTGGCAGCAAGGACAAGTGCTTGTCACTCATGGGCCAAGGCACTGGGACCAAATGGAACTTAGAGACTTCTCCTTTAAAATTCAGCAGTATGCTCCCACTTAGAAAAACTATCAGGATTGAGATATTTAAGATATATCCCTCCCCTCTTGTATACTCCTGGATAAGGCAGATGTAGCTTTGTGTGTGATTGCGTAGGTGACATCTTATGTATTTTTTAGGGTAATGCTAGTTGTTATGCCAAATGGACATTCCTTTCTCACTCAGATGAGTTTCAAAACAGGTACCAGAGCACTGACTCAGGTACTGAGGTTCCTTCTATCTGTGGATCCACCATTTTAAAGCATGTTTTCTAAAGTCACTGTGCCCATATCAGCATCAAGACAAAACAGGAAGAGCATGGAGACTCTCCCAGGAGGTTTTTATGGGTCACACCTGAAAATGGTGCAGGTAGACCTGCCAAACTCCTACTCATCCTTCCAGATTCAGGTCTGGCACGATCTCCTCCAGGAAGCCTGCTATGACTCTTCCAAGTCCAGTTGTTCACTTCCCTGGCCCACGACACACTAGACCCTGGACATACTATTATTTAGCACTTACCATGATACATTGCAATCTGTTTGTTTGCATGTCTGTTTGCACTTTACTTCCACTCGTATTCCATTGGCTAGAAATCAGCAAGGCCATGATTTCTTGCAAGAAAGAATGGGAAATAAGGTCCATGAGCCCAGGGAAAAGAGAAAATGAGTTTGTTAATACATAGAAGTCTCAGCCACAGTGTACCCCTCTAGGAAATTGACCCATATTATATTTTTTCCCACTCATAGAACATATTACTGCCTCCCAAGGGAGTCAACCCAAAATCCCATTGACCAACTGCTACATATATAGTTCAAAGGCTAGGTTTGCCGGTGGGTGTGCATCCTCTCCCTCAGGTCTGAATGCAACACCTTATGGACTAACCAGGATAACTGCAAAAAAGCTCCCATCTCATAAAAGGAGAAATGGGAGACACAGCAGTTATATAATTAATGAGCATGCCTATCCCAGATGTGGGAAAATCTCCTAGATTTGATCTTGATTTGGCTCTCGGGAG